GTGGGGGGGGGGGGGGGGGGGGGGGTGTTGACCACCCCGCACCACCGCCAGCTGTGGTGCGCATTAAGTTTAGTTTTAGAGATTAATATGTTTATAGATTTTTTTTTATAGGTTTAGAGATGAATATTTTTTGCTTTTTGTTTGTGAAACAAGAGGAAGCTGGTTCTGGTTCGGTGGATTGCACCCAGTGTTACACCATACTTTGTGACCTGCAACAGTGCAACACCGCCCCCTACGGTCATACGGTGGTCACATAATATGACGTCACTACGGACACTCAACCTTACATTTTTAACCTCGATAGATGTTCTAGCAATCGATGTGTAGATTACTCGAGTACTCTGTGTGGCTGAGAGGCAGAGCTTGAGTGGAACATGACTGAGCAAAAAATGAGACATGAAGGAGGCAGAAACATTACAATATATATATATATATCCATCCATCCATTTTCTTTTACCAGCTTCTTCCATTTTGGGTCACGGGGGTCGCCGGGGCTCATGTCCAGCAATCACTGTGTGAGGGGCGGAGGACACCCTGGACGAGTTGCAAGTCCATCACAGGGACACATAGAGACAAATGAGACAAACAAACATTCACTCTCTCACTCACACCCAGAGACAATTTAGAGTTACCAATCAGTCTAACATGCATGTTTTTGGTCTGTGGGAGGAAACTGGAGTACCCGAAGAAAACCCACGCGTGCACGGAGAGAACATGCTAACTGCACCCAGAAAGGCCCCTGGACCGGGATTTGAACCAGGGACCTGCTCGCTGAAAGGCAGCAGCTCATATACTACTGTATATATGTGTGTGTGTATATATATATATAAATATATATATATATATATATATATATATATATATATATATAAAGGTGTTTTAAACCCTACCCACACTCTTGCAATATTCTAAACACTGTTTCTAAACTCTAAACGCTCTAAAAGAGCACAGAATGTCATGATTTTAGCTCTCTGCCTCCTCTGCCTCCTGCCAGCGCTCTCGGCCACACCCACTTCTCCACTGCAGTGTGAGACGCTGCAGGAGGATGTTTCTTCTTCAGTGTGGGCTGCATAAATGTGCAGCAGGTGCTACATAATTTAAAATAATTTATTTAAAATAAAAATTCCATGCCGATCGTGTGGCTCATCCATCAATCAGCCAATCGTGTGTCATGTCCAATCTTAATTTGAAAAACGACGATAGAGTGAGTCCACGAAGTAGCGAGGGACTGCTGTACACCAGAGAGTAGCTGAGGTGTTGCCATTTTTCTTTTACCAAGCATCAGTTGGTTGTGGCAGCCATCTTGTATAAGATTATATTCAAATGATAATTGCTTGTGCTGATTAGTGATTAGTTTCTTTGATTGGTTTCTGAGCATTCAAGTTATATCTGTCAAGTGGTTTATAAGATATTTTGCTAACAATATAGTTGTCTCAAATAGCTATTTACAAATTATTAGCTGCAGATACTGTGTGGTAATGTAGCACTTACTGTCTTCTTCTTTTCATCTTCCTCACTGTCTCCCTTTTTGTACACCCTCAGAGGACTATGCATCCATGTGTAACATTCCTTTGGGTGGGGGACGGCGGCCATATGGTAACGACGCTCTTGTTGCTGGTCCAATTCACGAATATGAAGTGAGTCCAGACTACCTGCCATCACCTGAGCAGCAGCTTGGCCCAACCTTTTATGAGAATGAAGAGTGTGAGTATCAATCCAAGTACCGGGTACTTCATATTAGAAGAAGTGCTGAAACACAAGATGATGTTGTTGCATGTAGAGTTTTGAACACATTTTTTCCAAAGGCACACACAGCTGTAATCCAATACTGTATATAAATATTCTTACAGCTCCCCTTCTGCATGGATGCTGCAGAAATGGCTACTGCTATATGAATGTTTTTTAATCATACAATGAATGAGACGTTTTGGGTTTGATTCAAGCTTTGCACACCTGAACTGGAGGATTTTCTGCAGTTTTTCTTTGCAAGTCGTCACTTTCAGGTCTTTCAGATGTTTTGATTGAGTTCAAGTCAAGTCTCTGGCTGGGCCACTCCAGGACCTTCACAGGCTTGTCTCAAACAGTCTCTATGTGCTTTGGGGCATTGTCATGTTGAATGGTGAACCTTCTGCCCAGTCTGAGGTCCTGAGCTCAGCGGAACAGCTTTTAATTGAGGATATCGCTCTTCTTTGCTTCATTTAGCTGAGAATTGGTTCTTCACCATCTGAGAGTCCTTCAAGCTGAATTCAAGTGTTTTTTTTTACTGAGGAGAGGTTTCAGTTGAGCCACTCTGTCATAATATCCAGATCTCTGACACTCCGTCAACTAAAGGGCCCTGCTGCATACTCCATCCAGAGCTGAACAGTCGACTCGTGGCCACATGGTTGCATGACGTTCGTTTTTGCACACACCTTTCAAAGTCCATGAGACAGATGCAGAGCTCCTGGGAACACACACCACCCCCACCACCCCTGGCTGCAGTATACATCACCCCATGGGTTTATCTCCTCCAGAGTCTCCACTCAGTCCCTGCACCTGCTGTTTGGCCACAAATCCATCATGAAGGGAGCGCCACACGTTTCAGCAGACAGACTCCACAACGTCTGCAGGATCTCCATCCAGGAGTTTTTGACCATTTGACTAATTCAGTTTGTTGAAGAGTCGTACAGATGAATGTGCGAGCACACTGACAAACATGGCAGTGAACGTGGCAGCAGCCACCTGTTATCCTTTCACTTTAAGGTGATTTCTTTTTATATGTGATCTTCTGTTTATAGGATTTGACTCAGAATTCTGATCAACACATCCTGGTCAAAATCTGCAGAAACTTCTGAAAACAGAAATTATTGTTGTTTTTGATGCTGCTTATTAATATGATGATCATGTTGCACTGGGAAAAAAGATTTCATATCTCAGAAGATGAACCTAGTTAAAGTATGTGTTAATAATATTAATATTAGTTAAATGTTCCATTGCTGTGTGGTAAATGCTGATTATTTCACCTGCCAGTGGTTTTGATGTGGCTTTAAGTTGAAAAGCTTCTCTGGTGTCAACACTAAATGATTTGACGGCACTTTGCTGCCATCTTGTGACACAGTGGTTGTTAACATGAGCGTCACTGAATCTAGATGTTATTGGAACTGTTCAGTTCTAAGAACTCATTTCCAGATGTTTGTGTGATTGTTTTTTAATACGTCTTGGTTATATTGCACAAGCATGATTTCTACTTGGGCGGCTGTGGCTGAGTGGTTAGAGCAGTCGTCCTCCAATGCAATAATTGGGGGTGTTGATTCCACCAGCAGTCACATGCCGAAGTGTCCCTGGGCAAGACACTGAACCCCTCGGTGCCTCCGTGTGTCCCATCAGTGTATGAATATAATCTAAAGCACTGATTAGTCTCATTAGAATGATTTGTTCAATTATCTTTGTATAGATCCAGTAGAGTGCTGTATGAATGGGTAAATGAGGCACAAATTGTTGTAAAGAGCTTTGAGTATCTCGATAAGATAGAAAGGTGTTATATAAGTACAGTCCATTTACCATTTACCATTACTCCCCTCTGTAGTCATAAGTGGACAACGGCTCTCAATTTGTTTGTTCATAAAACTATTTTCAGTAGTAAAATATACTATGAATTTATTTCAAAACTAGAAGTGAAACAAATGAGAAAACTAACAAATATAAAGAGACCCCTCAGTAGATGCACCTTTGAACTTCCCATTGTTCTCACACATGTTCCAGTTTCTGTGAGGGAAAAGATGGTTCTATATGGACTCACGTTGTTCAGTCCTTCACACTGTGGACCCGGCTGGTCTTAATATTTCACGGTAGTTTCAACAAGACTTTTTTTCCTACAAAACTGGCAAACTAAGAATAATATGTTTGTCTAATGTCCAGATCTTTTAGCGAATTGTTGGCGTTGGTTTACTGTATATCTCAGATCCTTTTTTACTGTTTCTTTTTATGCTTGATATTTTTGGGTGTAACTGGGACCCTGAGTACACAGTTTTGTTCCACCTCATGTACCACATGTGATGTGAATGATAATAAACCTGAATTTGAATTTGAACTTGTTTTCACAGCCATGAGAACATTTTCTATTTGGATATAAATAAATTTTAGTCCAACTGGCTCTCTAACGAGACGCATGCCTTTCTCCCCGCTCCCTCCTGCTTTTTTGCTCTCTGTCTGTGTATCGGAGCAGCTCCTATTTTTACACATCTTTCGAAATGAAAACTACTGTTTTGGATGTGACCAACTGGACTTTCGACGTAAATGACAAAATCTTTTCAACAAAGCAACAGGGTCCTGAAGAACCCTCATCTGCTCGGACGACACGCATGCAGCTGGAAAATTCTCTGGGGGTGAAGTGTCTACCTCTGCTGTTGATTGAGGACGTCGGAATTGCATATAATTTGATTTATGATAACAGATTTCCTGTTTTTGGAATAGTCTAGATCCTGGTTTATCAACGTACAAAGAAGACAGTCACAGCTAATTTGGACCTCGTCAGGCTGCTGCCTATGTGAAGGTTCATGCTGGGAGGACTCAAAATCAGCTGAGTTACAAGCAAAATCATAAGTTGCAAATGATTTGAATCACAGGCCACTTGCAACTTTGGGACTCGTAAACTGAAAACGACCCTGAAGAGGCTCGTAAGCACGGACCAGTAGAATGCACCCTAATCTGGACATTTCGGACATTGGAAGTATCAGTACAGACTCAAAGGCTGACAAGGATAAAATAGTCTGCCTGAATAAATCAACAATTGTGGTTATCTTAATCTGACTCCCCGGTCGGTCTCGAAACAGGCCGACATCAATTTCTCCTGGGAAATGTGTAAACTAAGGAAACTCCCCCCCGTGAAGGCTTATCAGAACTGTGCCGGCTGACCATCATCTTGTCAGGACAAAATGGACTATCTGTTAGTGCTTCATGGACCGCCTCATCGTAAATGCATATGTAACGTGTTCATAAATGTGCTGCTGGCAGAGTTTTTTTATGTCTTAAATCATGTCCTGTTAGGACAAGGTGTGAAGAGATCTTTTTTGTAATGCCACTACTCTCCCCTCATGGCTTTGTCCCTTTTTCTATCTAAAAAATGTATTCTGAAAAGGATAAAAAGGCCGCGCTTTATAGCAGCAGCTACGTGCACTCCACCCATCTTTCAGACAACTGTATGGACATGTTCTTGTTGTATCTCGATGCAACGATAATAAAGTTTATTCTGATTCTGATTCTAATAGTAACTGAAGGGCCTTCATTTGTGCCACTTTTCCTCAGAGAGTAATTTCTGTCAGTGTCAGGTCACTGATGGAGTTGCTTCGTGTTACAGATCCATACAGAGCATTTGAGGGTTTGCAAGCAGAGGAGTGTGGGATCTTGAACGGCTGTGAGAACGGTCGATGTGTCCGGGTTCAGGAGGGCTACACCTGCGACTGCTTTGACGGATACACCCTCAACCTGTCCCGCATGGCCTGCATCGGTAGGACGGCACTCACACACAGAAAGCAAAGACCTTTGACATGTGTGTTTTATATGTATATTTTTATTTTCTCTCTCGTCTCTCCGCAGATGTGAACGAATGCTCAGAGCTGAACAATCGAATGTCGTTGTGTAAAAATGCTAAATGCATCAACACAGTGGGCTCCTACCAGTGTGTGTGTTTGCCGGGCTTCAGGGCGTCTGAGAAGCCGAACTACTGCGTGGCGGCAGAAACACAGCAAACATCCACACAATGAGCCTGGACAAACTGGGGGGGAGAGACAGACAAGGAACACCAAAACCACACACACAAGCTTGTATCGCTATACTTGTCAGGATGTCCTGTGACTACACTTAGTCAGTGCAAATCTTGAGCTGCAACCAAATTCTGACTGTCCTGAGAGCAAAGCATCATCAGCACTGAGCGGGAGGAAGAAACACGGACTACACCTGTAAGGTTTTACACATGAACTAATCCATCTGTGTTGACGTTCTTACTTTAGTCTGTTTTATGTGATTCTGTTGTCAGTGGCTAAATGTAGACCTTCAGATTAGTGTCAGTAGTCATTTAAAAATTAAATATATTTTATTCCTCAACAATACATATGTTTGTGTATTCAGGTTTCACATATACAGTTCATTTTCAGTTCTGCTATCCTGAACCTCCAAAATGTACAGTATTTTATAGGTTTCACACATGATGACATCAGGCAAACCTCTCCAATCTGTTCAGAGGCAACTGCACAAAGTTAAGGAAACAGTTTGTCTTATTTCAAGTGAACTAGATCAGTGTTTGTGACATCATTTCTGGGAGCTCACACTAACTGTAGCTCAACAGCCAAATCAACAACAACAAAAGAAAAGCCCCCTGACTACATATCACACAGCGTTAATATTTATTTGCCAAACTGACAAAACCTCTGTTTCTATAGAAACCAGTTGTGTGCTTTGCTTTTTTATTTTTTGTAAATAAGTGATGACAACATTTAATATATCTTGCGCTACTGGCTTGATCCACACTACTCTGGATTCATTTGCACCTGCCTGTTTACGTACAATCACAGCCCTTGGTGAAACATCTTTAAAGTGCTTTCCAAAGTGTAATTTCTTTTATTTATTTATTTTTTGTGTTTCTTCATGGACAGTAAATAAAGAGCTATTCATAACAGATGCTGCAGCAGCTCGTTTGCATACTCAATTCAACCTTTATTTATACAGGTTAGTCTCATTGAGCCTCGAGGACTCATTTGCAAGAAAGACCTATAATATGTAATATGCTCACTTGATGCTTGGTGCCCTAGAAACCAAAACAACAATGTTCAGTCAGCTCATCTGGATGGTTTCTTCTTTTGCTGAGACCTTTCATCCATCATCCAATGGGCATTTTCAGTCTGAGGAGGCACCAAACAAAGCTGATTCTCCACCAACAGCATACTACACAATGGGAAAAAAAACAGTTTGCTGGTGCTAAGATGGTCTCTGGGGTCCGCCCTCTGCTCTGGGACCCGCCCTCTCCTCTGAGACCCGCCCTCTCCCTCGTCAACTCCTCTGAAACAGTCATGTCAAAGTGGTTCAAAACACCAATGTCCATGCTCCATAATCCAGGTATAAAATCCAACAACGTTCAGTCAGGTCATCTGGACGGGTTCTTATTTTGCTGAGACGTTTCATCCGTCTTCCAATGAACAGTGGAAAAAAACAGTTTCCACTGTGGAGTAGTGCTGTCATTTCTAACCCGAAGCCTGGTTTCGCCTGGCCCCGCCCGACCTGGATTAGGGGCGGTCCAGGCCATAATAATGTGCCTAATGTGGGTTTATCGCACGCTGACCAGTCTTGAAAGAGGTAAAAATTTCAGTTAAGCTTCAGGTGGACTACTGCCAGTGATCCATCGCCCAAATGGACATTTATTCAACCGCTGCACTCAGCGGATGCACGCGGCCGATGACCCAAACAAGTGAGATCCCAAAGTATCTGACATGTCAGAGCAGGGTCTGTGTCTGAATAATGCAGAATGCAACAGAAGCAGGGATTTAACGTGCTTTGACAACCATGAAAGGACAAACACCCCCTTAGCTCCGATCTTCTGCCCCCCTTTATTCAGCAGTGCGCGTCCGCCGACCGTTAATAACTATATAAACAGTCAAAGGTTAATTAAAAATGTCAGCGAGGGGAGGGGGTTCGGACCTGTAATTACTGTTAATTCATCAGGTCGGGTGAGGTTAGAAAATGATGGCTACAGGCTGGGGCAGGGTTGGATCGGATTTTTTGGGCCCGAATGCAACTCTGCTGTGGAGTATGCTGTTTTGTTTGGTGCCTCCTCAGATTGAAAAAGTCCGATGGATGACGGATGAAACATCTCAGCAAAAGAAGAAACCATCCAGATGACTTGACTGAACATTGTTGAATTTTATGCCTGGATCATTGAGCATGGTCTCTTGTGAACAACAAAGTACTTTTTTAAACAATTCTTCAGCATTTTCTCACCTTATCCTGATGCTGTTGTAAATAAATTGACTTTGTGCTGAAGTAGTTAATAACCGAGACAAAATTTTAAATGACAACAGTGAAAATCTAGTTCAGCATTTTTGTTAAAACTGACTTGGTGGAGAAAAAAAATCAAATAAAGAAAATAAAATATTGATTTTAAAATACCCAGAGTAGCGTTGATGAAGTCTTAGACCTGAGGAAGACTAGATCATTTTAATCACATTCACACGTGATTTTTGACACGTCAGTAATGTTTAAATTATTGTGAATAATACAGATACAGTTCATACAGGAGCTGATGGATAACAGTCTTATGACCAAATAATTGATACTTTGCTCACAATGTAGAAAAACTATTCACAGCATAGATAAATTGATAACCAGTACACACAGGCATCTATTGTTGTGTACATTTGGTTGAAAAGTGAAAGCTGGAACAACATATTCAAATCATAGAAAAACACTTCTATGTGAAAATTTATTTTAAGTGTGAGCATTTATTACCAAAGTAAAAGGTGAAAAGTAGTTGTGATGCAGCACGTTAGAGAATCTCCGTTTTTAATGACCTAACACAACTGAAACATTTATTTGGTTTTCAGATTGTTAATAAAAAATACTTAAAGAAATGTGAATAAAAATGTGCAAATTATTTTTGTAAATTGAAACAAATGGAAAACGTAGGCACTGTGAAACACCAATAATAATAATAATAATAATTTATTCAATTCGTACTGCTCTTTACATTTTACAATCTCAAAGTGCTACAATATAAAACAACTAGAGAGAATAAAACATGGACTAAAAAACTGAAAAAATTAAAAAACTAAAAACAGCAATATTAAAAATAAATTTAAAACTATAAAATCTTTCAAAGAAGAAGGTCTTCAGTCCTTTCTTAAAACTTTCAGAATGGCTTGAATATAATGTACATAATGTTGAAATGCTGTACGGATGCTAGCTCAGCTCTTATACATCACCAAATGACAAAACAAATCATTTAATGTTATCCATAGCAACTCCTAACCTCTCACTGGTGTGCCTGCTTGTGCTTCTGAGGAATTTAACCCATTTATTTTTAGAGCTGAGCTATCAATTTTATTTATAGTATTTTTGTGCAGTACTTTCCTCTAGGAGGTTATGTTCCTCGTGAGCTTTTGACATCCTCTCATGGCTGATCTCTGTATTGCAGTACTATCATATAATTGCAGCTTATTTACTGTTTAAAAAATATATATATTATGTTGGAGTATTTTGTTATAAAATATTAATACTATATATTAAACCATTAAGCCATTTTTCCTCGATAATGAGCCAAAGAGGTCCAACTTTAGATGTTCCCTTTACAACCAGAAATCAGTCCCATTATAAACTTTGTGCATAAAACAAGCAAACAAACAAACAAAAAAAACGTCAAAGCTACTGTAGGAATGTCAGCAGTGCGTTTTATCAACCATGGTGCCTGAACTGTCACTTTAAACATAAAGCTTCCATGGATGGATGTTTGTTTCATGAATAATTCAAGTTGAACTGTCGTTGCCACTATTCAACACAGAAAAAGATACTGACTTTTTATTTTTGCCTTTATGAACTGGTTTAAACCCAACACATTGTAAGCAGCACCACGTTTCACAGAAAACAATATTGAAATCTGGGTTTTGGACTTCGTAAAAAGGGTAAAAACCTAATGTGAAAGGTTCTATCATCTTTCATTTCATGTTATCCACATAAAACCTGTGAGTTTCAAGAAGTCCAGATCATGTCTGTTTCTCCTTTACTTTATGGCTAATTGTCCATCCATCGACCCTCTTGTTGAACAAATTTAGCTGTTGACCTTGTTTTGCTGTCATTGCATAAGCATTTTTATCAAAAAGCTGAATGAAGTCTGACTTTAAATACCTTAATTTAGGTTAAATTTAGACCACATTAGATGGGGTAGCAGAAAATCTAAACTTCACTGTCTTTATTTGAGTATATGAGGGCGATGACTGGCTGACTTGAAATAATAAAAAAAAACGTCCATGGATGTCCATTGTTTGTAAATCTGTTAGAAGTGTAAATCAGTGAGTTTTACTTTCTCCACTTTTCTGATTCCTGATAGGACGCTTACTCCTTAGAAGTATAGCTATACAAAACACGCACGCACGCACACACGCACACACACACACACACACACACACACACTCATAAACAAATCCACACTCTGCACTATATGAAATACTCATAGCATAAAAAAACATAATTACTTGATGAAAATTCAGATTAATCTACTACTTGTTGGACTGAAACACACAACTGTATAAAATGTATGCTTTTTTATTTGATTTTATTTTTTCTTATCTAAGTCCTGCCTTTATTTTGTCTCAGAGTAGTGCTTTATGTGTCAGAAGAGGCAGTGTTGTTCATGTAGCGTTTTGACAAACCCAACGTATGGACTTATGCAGGGGGATCCAGTTTTACCCAGTCAAGCCGATTGTGGATATTTAATTCTGTGAAGAGGCCAGCTGTCTGTTCCATCACCATCCTTCTCTTTGCCACAAAGAAAAACTCATAACCACACCAGGTCACCTTTTATGTGCGTTTGGCTGCGCAAACAGAAATTGCTATTGCTATTGTTTCAAGAAGAATCTTTTTCTTCCAGCTTTGTTTTTGTTGTGTAACAGCAGTCAGACGCCTGTTGACTAGAACACGTTTAAGCCATGTTTCTTGTTTTGTTTTTTACATACAGCTACAAGACTGCTGTGCCTCCTGTTGTTCCCTCGTTTTGTATCATAATGAGACTCGTGATTTTCCAGCTTCTTTTATCTGTGTTCAACCGAATTGTCTTGCCAGGTTGCTGCTATGGAACAGCGATGGGAGAGAAGAACCTTGTGTACATTTAAGCTATGAAACAGAGAAAATAGCTTATGTAATTGTCATTTGTACATGACTTTTTTTATATAAATTTATACTGCAATGTATAATAAACCCCTTGGTAAGAAACCACAGATTGTGATGTGTATTGTCACATTTTTGTCCTCCTTTTTTCTAAAAAAATAAATAAATTAAAAAAAAAAAAAGCATTTTTAGCTTTAACACATCAATAATTTAGTTTAAATTGTTCTTTTGCTTTGATAGTTTATTACTGCTTGTAATGTGTAATTGATTTGAATTTCTATTTCAACATTAGGAGTAAGCTTTTCATGCTATCCATCATCAAATTCAGTCAGTAACTGTACAGTAGTCAAAGTACAATTAGGGTTGCACCAGCTGTGGTTTCCTCCCACAGACCAAAAACATGCATATTATGTTAATAATTACTGTGCAAGAAATGCACAATATTGAGATACAGTTTGTTCCTCTGCCCTGTGATGGACTTGCAACCTGTCCAGGGTGTACCCCACCTCTGGCACAGTGACCCCCATGACCCGAAAAGGGAGAAGCAGGTAAATATAAAGGATGGATGAATGTTTGTTCCTCCTGTGCCATTTTTCGTCATTTTATCTGTCATCCTATTGCAACTATCCCACTTCTAATTATGAAGAGTATTAAGGAGATGATTAGTATGACTTGGTTTTGTACCATTTATGGTTATTGACAAATTAAACTTTACTTAGGCTTCATTAGTATACATGTGGCAGCACGGTCGCGCAACTGGTAGAGCTGCTGCCTCTCAGCGAGCAGGTCCTTGGTTCAAACCCCGGTCCAGGGGCCTTTCTGGGTGGAGTTTGCATGTTCTCTCCGTGCATGCGTGGGTTTTCTCTGGGTACTCCGGTTTCCTCCCACAGACCAAAAACATGCATGTTAGGCTGATTGGTAACTCAAAATTGTCCCTAGGTGTGAGTGAGAGAGTGAATGGTTGTTTGTCTCGTTTGTCTCTATGTGGCCCTGTGATGGACTTGCGACCCATCCAGGGTGTACCCCGCCCCTCGCACAGTGATTGCTGGGCATGGGCACCGGCGACCCCTGTGACCCAAAATGGAATAAGCGGATAAAGATAATGGATGGATGGATGGATGGATGGATGGATAGTATACATGTTACAATTTCAGCAGCTTGAATTTGAGCCAGTACTGACCCCTCCTGATAATTTGTTACTCCATTAAACCACCTTCAATAGTCCAGTAATCGCATAACTATGTGTGTGTGTGTGTGTGTGTGTGTGTGTGTGTGTGTGTGTGTGTGTGTGTGTGTGTGTGTGTGTGTGTGTGTGTGTGTGTGTGTGTTTACCATATGGGTCAGCTGCTCCATCACACACTCCACCACCTCCGACTTGTTCTCCTGCAGCTCGGGTGAGAACTTCTCATTCAGCCAAGCCTAAGAGTCGCACACAAACACGGCAGAACAGATGGAGCCCGGCGAAGAGGGACAACTGTGTTTAAAACAGGGCGTTGTCACTAAAAACAGGGTAAATACGGTGAAGTCTCTCACTTCTTCCAGTTTGGAAATCAGCTCTGCCGGAGTCATGACGTCCTCCTCCTCCTGGCTGTCCTCCTGGTTGACGCCGTCTTCCGACAAAGACTCCGACATAATTTCGTTTTTTAAATTGTGGTGGCCAAAATGAATGTTTTTTTTAATGTGTTGTTGTAGGTTCAAACAACACTTAAATTAACAAATATGGTTAAATGCTGTGGGAAAAACAACCAGCAACTACCTGCTCGACAGTATCTTCACCGACGCTCTTGTTTATTCGCGCCACCGAGACGTTCTCGCGAGACTTACAGATCTCGGTGTGTTGCCAGATAAACAGGAATTTTCGTTTTTTTTTTTTTTAAAGATGGTTTAGCATCAATATACCATACCACTTTATTTATAAAGCAGTTAAAAACCGCAAAAAGGCCAACCAAAGTGCTGTACAGCATGAACAAAAACAAAACATGATATACAGTACAATAAAGTTTTTGAAAATCCCAAATCAGGTCTCTCTTGTAAATGAGTCCTCGAGGCCTGTCTAAATAAAGGTTGAATGAAAAAAATACACGATTGCTTTGGCATTTCCGTGCACCAGAAAATTCCCCTAATTTGTTGTTCACATAAACACCCACAAACCATCAGAGAGTCCGATCCGACCAGCCAGAGTGTGTGGGACCGAGAGAACCGTGTCTCCGTAAAACATAACTCTCCACACACACAGCAACAGCACGAGATTTCGTTATTTCCTATCTGGCATAAAGTGGAAGTGTCGTTTCGGGTTGCGCAGAACTGAACTTTCCAAGTTCGTATAATGCCAGAAGATGGGCGCAGATTCTGATAGTGAACAGTGGATACCTGCGGTTTAAAAAACCAGCGCATCTTATTTATGTACAAAATTATGTTTTATCTTGAATTTAGTATGTGCGGCTTACCGTTAGGTGCGTTCTGTAGCCTGGCAGTTATGGTATAAATGGGACTTTTTATTATGTTCATATTAGTGTTGCTGTTAACTTGTGTTGCTGTTGGACATACATTTTTTTTTATATTTTGCACTATATATAATTATGTAGAAAAGCCAAAATTTCAATATTTGTTTTAATTTCTTATATATGATTTGTTATATTTTGTGCTCTGTAATGTTCTTTATACAGAACGGAAGGTTACATAACTCTATAATAAATCAATGGGCTTCACTTAAAGATGTATTTGCATTTCATGTATAATATTATTGCATGTGGCCCGCAGCCCTCTGATAGATTTTAAAATTGACCCTCGGGGAAAAAAGTTTTGGGCACCTCTTTTTCTAGAGCCTGTCTTGTGTAGGAGTTCTCCTTCTGCCTGGCTCCTGAGCTAGTGGGGACGCTGTCTGCTCTGTGGTACAGAGTCCTGATGACTCCTAACTTGTGCTCCAAAGGGTGATGGGAGTCAAACTGCAAATACTGGTCTCTGTGGGTGGGTTTGTGTTACACCTCACTTTCAAATTTCCTCAACCAGAAACTGAGACCTCACAGTCCAAGAAAGCCAACCTGCCATTTTTTACATCTTCTCGTGTGAACTTTATATATTTATCCACAGAGTTGATGTGATCAGTGAAATGTTGGACTTCCTGAGATTTTATTTTAACCCAGGTGTCGTCAACATACCTGAACCAATGACTTGGTGGTGTCCCTGAAAAGGACGTCAAGGCTCTCTTTTCTACCTCCTCCATGTACAAGTTGGCAACAACAAGAGAAACTGGAGACCCCATAGCACACCCATGTTTCTGCCTATAATATTGCTCCCCATGTGTGAAGTAGGTTGACTGCAGGCACAGTTTCAAGAGTTGACACAGTTGTTCTGTAGAAAGCGTGGTCCTGCTGCTCAGGTTGGTGTCTGATTTTAATCTTAAACAGACCACCTCTACTGCATCATCAACAGGAATGTGTGTAGAGTGATGTGACATAAAAAAGAGACCATTGTTTCATCAGTCTCCATGATGACATCCCTCACCTTATCCACAAAATCCATGGTGTTCTGCATGTGGTGTTCTGAGCTGCCAACTAAAGGGATGAGTACAGACACCATATACAGTATTTGGAAACATTGTAAGTGACAGATCATGCTAACAATTGGTCTTAAAGGTACACCTTGTTTGTGGATTTTAGGTAAATCATACAGACTAGGTGTGGCCTCCCCTGGGTACAGTCAGTGGTACAGAATAGGGTCAATAGCTTTGTCCTGATCCAAAATTTTCAGGCGATCTATCAACTTCTTCTTGTAACCATTTCGGCTCTCTTTTCAGCAGCTCATAAGTGGTTAAGTCACTAAGGAGTGTCATAACTTGCTCATGATCTTAAGTTTCAATGAAAAGAAGTCTGAAGTCATGTTGTTCCCTCCCAACGACACGATCACAAACCACTGCATTGATCTTTCCACTCTAACCCTGTCAGAAAAACAAAGAGTCACTAATCTGGGTGTGATAATGGACCCTTCCCTGAAACTTAACAATCATGTAAACATGATTGTTAAATCATGTTTCTTCCAGCTGAGGCGGCTGTCTAAACTGAAGCCCATATTGTCCAAAAATAACCTGGAGACAGTAATACATGCATTCATTACATCTAGGCTTGATTACTGCAATTCGCTCCTGTTTAGTATCAGTCAGACCTCCATTGCACGACTACAACTGGTCCAGAATGCAGCAGCCCGATTTTTTACCAGTACAGGCAAAAGAGAGCACATTACACCAGTTTTGGCCTCACTGCACTGGTTACCGGTTCACCTTAGAATCCAGTTCAAAATACTCCTGCATGTCTACAAATCGCTGAACAGTGTCGCCCCCCCATCTCTCTGATCTGCTACAACCGTATATCCCACCACGTTCCCTGAGGTCAGCGGACCAATTGCTCCTCACAGTTCCAGGAACTTGTCTTAAGCGCAGAGGTGACAGGGCCTTCTCTGTAGCAGGACCAAGACTTTGGAACGAGTTACCTCTGCTTGACAGACTGGCCCCCTCCCTCTCGGTTTTCAAATCCCGTTTAAAAACTCACTACTATCCAGTATCTTTCAACACCAGAGGATCTGTGTTTTGAACCTGTATGCTCCACACTGGTTAGTCGTCATATTTATTATGTGCATCGATTTTATGTCTATATTTTTGATTTACTTCATTGTGTATATTGCTTCGTGTGTTGTCTCTTGTTCTGTCTGTACAGCACTTTGGTTGGCCTTGTAGCTGTTTTAAGTGCTCTATAAATAAAATGGTATGGTATAGTCTTTCTGGTTCAAATCACTGTGCACCTTGTCTGCTGGGAGGATGATGATGTTTTTGTCCTTGCTGAGAGTGGTGAGTGAATCCCTCTCCTCTCTACTGATGTTGGAAGGTGGTGGTCATTGCTGAGGCAGGCTGAAACTTTGTTCCTGAAAATGTTACTGCATTGGCCGGGAATCGGACCCGGGCCTCTCGACCACATCGCAGGCGAGAATTCTACCACTGAACTACCAATGCTGTGATAACATCATCAAACTGGTTGATCCACTATGAGAAGGTGTTATTTACTGTATAAGACTGAGCTTAGTACAGCTCCTCAGACTGCAGTCTTTCGGATGAAAGACAAATCTTCTAACCTCTGCGCAACCACTCCCGTCATACATACTGTTACATACATGCATACATGTATTCAAAATGATCAAGTTATTTGAGTTGTGCAAACTTAACATATACATAGTAGTTGAACAAACAACATTTTTAAGTTAAAAAAATTGAAAATTTTGAGGCAACGAGTTTGCATAAATTTTTTAAGTAAAGTCCACTTATTGCATCTTACAGTGCTCCACACCAGCTGCAGCCCCCCCGGTCTCTATACCAGTTACAACTCCCCTGGTCCCCATGCCAGCTGCAGTCCCCCCTGATTTCTACACCAGCTGCAGAACCGCTGGTCCAGTGTTGTGTATTATCTCATTTTCTCCACCCGAGTTCTGTAGTTACCGCTTCAATCCTGCAGGGGTCAGTCAAATCATTGCACATCAGATACAACAGACGCACCTTCAAGTTTAGGAATATTTAATAAGTAAAGTAACACAGAAGTAATAAAGTTGTCACAGATTCACAAGTATAAACAGTGGGTTAGTTAAATGCAGTCGTTATTTTAACATATTAAAATCAGGATGCATCCCTTAATCTGTACAATACAACCTGCATTGTCTTTCTGCTCCAAACTGCTGCTGGCTGCTCTGCGTCTCTCAGCTCACTCACACAAGGAAAGAACTCCCCACATCCCTTTGTTCTGTGGAAAAAGGGCGTTCCTTTTTCACAGAACAGGAAGGAAATCAATCTAGGGGGAGCCTCTTCAAAGTAAAACAGGAAGTGGGTCAATTTCAAAATAAAATAAGAATTGGGAGTCAGATTCAAAAGGAACAAAATATTTTTCCACAACAATTCCCCCTTTCGACCTCATCTAAAGAGGTCGACATCAAGTGGAAGAATATGCTTCTCTGCGCCGAAGTGGTTGAATCTCAAAATCAGAAAGTTCATATCCTCTGCGCATTAGGAGCTGACGAGCTATCTCAGGGTCACGCTTCTCTAAAGTGGAAGTGATAAGACGTACTGACAGAGATCTCAGACAGGGAATACAACAACATCCACATGTGATTAAAATAGCTGCAAATACTGCAATGGACATTAACATGGACACAATCATCTGCTTCCAGGGGCCAAACACTTTGAAGAGCCATTCATCAAGAGGATTATCTACACCAGAGTGAGATTTCATCTCATTAGACAACGTTCTCAAACCTTCAAGTGCACGGGTCACTTTTCCATCAGGGGCAGTGTTATTAGGAATAAAACTACAACACAAGTCACCAAACATGCTACACACACCTCCTTTCTCAGCTAAAAGCATATCAAGAGCCATTCTGTTTTGCACAGCCATCAGAGAAGTCGGAGCTAGTTGCTCCGCTAAGCCCTCAACAGCGTCTCTGGTAAGGTTGGACAGACGCATGACATTGTAATGTATGTAATTTATTCGATCAACATTTTTATTTGGTGTAATTGGGAAATATGCTGAAACAACAGGTAAATTTTCAAAACCTGTCGCAATCTGATCTACTAATTTGTGCTCATCAGGAACTCCCCTAGGGATTCCTATGGCATCAATATAAGTAGTAGAGCCCACAGTGGGGTCAAAATTATGAGTTGAACGTCTCTTCCTAATGGGAGAGATGGAGGTGTCATTTAAAACTTCCAAACGAGGGCCAATCAAGGTTAACGATGCAGCTAAGCGTACCAATGCACACAATCCCACAGAATCCTGAGGGATATGTGTTAGTAAACGTCGACCACCACAATAATAATACAGGTCAGCGCGAGCCACCTTACCCACACGGGTGTTGTCAGAGACATTTTGTTGCGTGATGTTACACCATTCATTCTGAATTTGTCCTAAGGCAACTCTTTTATTTGCAGTTGAGGTGTAATTAAAACAGTAATAGTCAAATCGTTCTACCGGAGCAAACGAGCCTAATTTGGTTATATTAGAAATAATTGGGAATAGCTGAGCTAATGTAGTGCAATTCTTAGTATATTTTCTCATAGTCAAACTTAACATGCAATGAAATCCCCAAGCGTCCTCTAGGTGTAATGGAGCTGGCTGGGTGTACAAATTTGGTCGAGCTGCAGCACAAGCTACACATTCAGACAAAGAAGCCTGTCTAGCAGCCTCAGCGAGCCAAGCTAACCAAATGTTAGAGTCAGTATAGCCAGTGGACATAGCAATCACATCCACAGGGGTTAAGCTGGTATAGTCAACACTATCAATTCGCATAGGCATTGGGAGCGATGACTCCTGGGTCGGAGGAGGAGTAGGATCTTGGGCTGGCAACTCTGTAAGAGCAAGTTGTAACACCCGGAAAGGGTCCTTGCCAGTGACATCCGCGGCTACAAGCACATAAATGGGTTCCGTCACCAAGGTGTAGATCATCTCACGCTTTGTGCTGGTTAACTTATTCCAAGTTCGAACATACTCAAAGGACAATAACAAGTGTCTGTTATTTTTTGCCAAGGTGGCATGTGCCCTCCACCAATCTCTGTAATTAGTCAGATGTCCAGACATATCAGGTTTCCATGATCCTGAATACAACGTGACATAATTCCACTCAGGACACCAGAAACATTTGGATGGATTGGGACATGGACAAATATAAAAGGCTGCATTCGCAATACGGTAATCCGTACAATAAAACATGTCACAGATTGGCAGGCTTAGGGTAGTGGTGGTGTCTTTGGGATACTCTACTTTCAGCACCGGAAGGGCATACGCATCTTTCATGACTGTGTGTGGTGTCACACTCCTTCTCACCCTGCCTGTTTCACCAGTCTGCTCACACTCTGGTAAACCGGGAATGATGCAGAAATATTCAAACGAGAAAATGAGTGACAACACTATGGATGACAAAGCACCTATCCCTATCATAACGTACTTTGATGACCACCGCATTTTGATCTTGTAAACTGAAACTATACTCAATTAATGAAGATGTCTCGCACAGCGACCTCCACAGCAGACAGCCAGTCAAGCCGTTCCTTTAACACAAAATGAATACAAAATAACACTCTGTTAATATACTGCTTATAATTAATTATAGGTATTTCTTTTTAACGTTACAAACTGAATATACTTAATACTTTCAAGCTAAGTAAATAAATGGATGCGCTCTAAATCAAGACTGCAATTAAAAGATAAGAGAAAAATGGTTAGTACACATGTCATACAATATTGTTACAATCACAAGTACTCAGGGCATACCCTGGGGTGCTCAGAGACCGATCCTCCTATGTCTCTGAGTTTTCTTCATGAAGTGTGAGACTCTAAGATGTCGTGTTTTTGTCGTATCTAGGTGTCTGTACTAAATGTGGATATTCCAGCACCCAGTGACCCTACTCAAACAAAGTCCTTCAGGGCCCGCACGCAACTTTACCAGGCTGCTTCGGTCTACAAGACATGAATGTCCAGTTTTACGACTTTAGATGGTTTCTGCCAGCTCTCTCGCTCTTCCTGGCTCTGAGGCAGGCGCACACTGGCTCCAGTGGTACCAAACGTCCCCCTTTCCTCTGAGGCGGACTGCGTGGGACGTTCTCTCTGTAACCTGATAAGGGCCCGTCCACCTGGGCTCCTGCCACTTCCTTTTAATGACCCTCAGCAAGACCCACTCCGCGGTGGGGAGACCAGGTTCCTCTGGTCTTTCTGTTAGGCTCTGTTTGTGGTGAACCTGCTGAGTAAAGTTAGACACTAATGCTTTTAACTCATCAAAGTATACCTTATGGTCCATTTTACGGTCCTCCTCACTGGTCAATAAGCATACAGTTGGTCCTGGAAAGGGTCTTCCTGTAGTTAACTCATAGGGAGAAAAGCCAGTTCCATTATTAACAGAAGTTCTCACGCTCATTAGGGCAATTGGTAATGCATCAACCCAGTTCAATTTAGTCTGTGCACAGATTTTGCCCAATTTTTGTTTTATGTTCTGGTTCATCCTTTCTACCTTCCCTTGAGATTGAGGATGGTACACGGTTCCAAAAGCAAGTTTTAGGCCTAACATTTTTTCCACAGCCTGCAGATCTGTGTTTTTAAAATGTGTGCCATTGTCTGATCTTATTTTTGTTGGGAAACCGTGTCTGGGGATGTAATGGTTAATCAGAAACTTCACCACTGTTTTGCTGTCTTCTCTTCTTGCAGGTATGGCTTCTGGCCACCCTGTAAATGCGTCAACACACATCAATACATATCTGAACCCTTTAACAGGTTCCAACATATCAGTGTAATCTAGAATCACCTCCTGTCCCGGTCGGTGCAGGAGAGGAAAAGAACCTCGTTCAGGTTTTACTGTAGGTCGAATGTTGTACTTTAAACAAACAGTACAGGTGTCAACATATGCTGTTACCATATCTTTCAGATGCGGGTGTGACCATTGTCGAAGATTTCTTAACATTTGTCTGCATCCCACGTGTGCTAATCCATGTGCTTCCTGAAACACTGCCTGTTTTAAAGTCATAGGCAAGATCTACTTCTGATTCGGTCCTACCCATACTTTAAATTCACCTATTTTCTGACCTCCTCTGTTAAACCATAATGTCTTTTCCTCTGGGGAGGCTGTAGCCTGAGCCTCTGCCACAGTTTTCTCATCCCATTGATTCACTTTCTGACATTCCTCTTCCACTGTCACCATCTGGACTCTTGGCAAATAGCCAGCAGCTATCTTGGCTGCTCTGTCAGCTTGCCTGTTTCCTTCCGCTGTGTCTGATTGTGTAACATCATGACCTTTGCACTTCACAACCGCCACTTTTGCTGGCCACATCAAACTGTCAGCTAACTCCTTAATGAGTTCCTCATGTTTAATTGGTTTATTACCTGCTGTTCGAAAACCTGCTCTTTTCCACTGTGGTAATTGTACATGAATTACACCATACGCATATGCTGAGTCTGTGTACACTGTAACCTCTTTTCCTTTGCT